TTTTTTTTTTCAAGATAAATGAAAGAGAAAATTGGTATTATCTTCCGCTCTCAAAGTTAATGTAGCAATTTATCTTATGAATTTTCGGAAACGTTGGATTTCATAAATGAAAGAGAAAATTAGGAACGTCTTCCGCTCTGAAAATTAATGCAGTAATTTATCTTGCGAAGGATGAACTCAATTTTATTCTTATATTATAGGTATGGTATTCTCGGTTGATTTTCATCTTTTTTCAACAACGATTGATGTCATATTCCAATTTTATCTGTCTTTAAGAACCCGCTGATTATAAAAACTTCATGACATTGTACGTAAGAATTTTCAACGAGTTATCCAGATAACTCTACCCTAAAACAGCCCCTTTCCATCGTCTCGTAGGGCTAAATTACACGTTCATGTAATTGGTACCTGCAATGTAGGAGTTTTACTCTTATTAGCTGCGCGAACGTTAATGATAACGGCTGTGAAATAAAAACCTTTTTACGTAAGCAGTTACTGATTAAGTAAGTTTCACTTTTAATAATCATCCTCGTACGCAATTTAATACAATTGAAGTAACCCGGTTAAGAAAAATTAAATTTATATATCGTAACTCGAGGGTATTTGATGTGGCTCGTATCTAAAGAAAATTTCAACACGATTATTAAACTACGTAATATTAATTAACCCTCAACTGGTATCATTGGTCATTGAGAATCGTAACAATTTAAGCTTCCGAGAGTGTGGAATACAAAATAAAATCAAGCACCCAAAGTTCTATTACATAATGAATAATGCAATAGGTACTGCTTCAAATAAAATTACAGTACTAATAAATTTTGTACTATTATTAAATTTCATAGATTTTATCTGTCACGCTGTTACATAAAAATTATGAACATAAAGTTAAATAAAATTTTACGAAACCTAATGTACCACATTATGGCGTATTACTAAAAAAAAGAATTGTAATGAGAAAGTGATACTATGAAAGAAAATGCCTAGAAGAGCACAAGGAGAGCAAGAAGCGAGTGCTTAGTAAGTTCGTTGTCCCAGCAGCCACGCTCGTAACACCTAGAAAAAGCATACGCAGATGCCTATAAAGGACAGGACTATAAACGAGCGTGTTGACCGCCAGCCACATGTCATCAGGATGCCTATACGCATGAAGAAATGCGAAATACATTGCCTATTGGCTGGTGAGAGCAAGGAATAATAGGTGGTCGCCAGAAACGAAGAGAGAACGGTGTCTCTTAGCAGCGAAGGTGCTGTACGTGAAAGGTGCTCCGAGGAGTATACTGGCACAAACGAAAGGAAAAAGAAGACGAACGAGGTAAGTACCTATTGGGTAACATTTATACCGTTTACGATCTTTTTGGCGCGAAGAAGAGACGAGAGGCACGCTGCAAAGAAAAAGAGAAGAGGAATAGTATCGGAAAAAAATGCCTGCTCTGGTTTACGAAAGTAAAACCATTGCGATTCATAGCAGACTTTATGGCGTAATCCGTACGACTATACTACTCTATTATTATCTATTCTAATGATAGAAATTGATCGTCTTCTAATAAATGTTCATCCCTCGTTAAGGACAACTTTAACGATAGCTCGATCACGGAAATTCAAGCCAAACTCATTGTACTTATCTAGTACAGCACAGCTTTGAATGAGACGTCATGATATTTGTTTTAAGTGATACATTTCGACCAATCTTCTTTTACGAATGAGTTTCATTATTACATACAACTTTAACTTTTTTCATTAAATTTTGCTGTATGTGAACAGTGTATAATTATTAAGTGTCACAAATATAGATACTTTCTGAGGTGCAGATAATAGACAATCTATTATCATTTTTATTACCTTCTTATCGATTAACTTTAAATACATATTTAAATGTCCATTCCGTTCTGGAAAGTTTCGTTCAACAACACGAATCGAAGGATTTAAAAATTTGTCGTTTGATTGTAAGAAGTCAATTATGTGTAAGCAAGAGTAAAATTATTCCAATAAAACAAGTACCTATTACAAACGGCAATTATGTTTGACGGACAAGTGATTCAAGTATACCCATAACAGAATATGAAAAAATGAAAAGAACGAGCGTTGGATTTCGTGCAACACGGCATAGATGCTAACTTAAATTTATAAGATTAAACTCTCGTCAACATGTATCGAAAGAAGCGTGTATGAAATAAAACTAAATGAAAAGTATCTATACTGTTAAATACTATTATAATCGTACACATCGTACTACAATACATACTATTTTCTCTCAACAGCATGAATCGCTACGTGTTAAGTCTACGTGTATGAAATAGTTAAAGTTCGATTTTATCGGCATCGGCATTTCCGCCATTTGCGTCTGATCACGCACGAATGACAAACGATAAATCAGAGTCGAATGTCTCACTCATCCGACGATTGTTCCTTCTTTCGTTAATATAATCGTATGGCGAACGGTTAGACAAAAGAGCACGGACACGTTTTGTACTTGCAGAATTTATTTCGCGACCAATTCGATGCCTGAAGAAACAATGCGAAAGTTCGGCATCAGATGGCAGAGCCGCCGAACCAGACGATCGTGGACCATCTGGTGGTCCACCCTGGCATACGGCAAGCATCCGATGTGTATAAGCGTACGAAAAAAGTCCAAAACCCGATACTCTGGATATAAGCCTAAAGGAATTTTAAGATAACTAAGGCGAGCATGAGGGAGACAGCTGTATAGGATAATCCAGATTAGAGCAAATGAAAACACAATGTAGATATGTCAATAAACAATACGAAATCACCTATATGGGCGGAGTTAGGCTTCAGATTTTAATCCTGTTACTTTCGTCCCCTGTCTCGGGATAATTTATCGATCTTAATTAACATTCATCGGCTGACGTTTCGTCTATTTGTGCTCAACCACAGTTTACTTTAATTCCATTATTTTTTTCCTGTTTTAGGATAATTTATTGACTTTAATTGAATCATCGCTACTCAAAAATACTTGCATCAATAATTTAAAGCAATCTTTTAATCATCGATGCAATGTTTGACCATTGCATGATCTGTAATTAGTAATGTCATTTTCGTCTCATCGGGAGAACTAACACTTTTAAATTGAGCTGTTATTTCTCGCAACCGATTATACGCTTCAATACTAGAAGAACTATGAAACTTGTACCAGAGAAATTGAAATACAAGCATCTTAAGAAAAGTCATCCGAATCTCTAGATCGACGAAATTTCTCCAGTTAATTCTCTAAAGTAAAAAGAAATAAAAAGTTCTAGCGTCGAACGAGATATTTAGGTCAGAGTTGCGCGGTGCACCGATGCAATTTCAAGCTTGGACAGCCGTGAGGCAGCAGTCGGTGCGCGACTGCTTTGTTTTTCAGGGTGCGACGGGGGCAAAATAAGACGGTTAACTAAATATAAGACGAAATGGTGACCGAGTCACGTCTGCAACAAGGCACGTGCAGCACGCGTGCTTCGACTTCGTGCACCGACAAAAGAAACCCGTGCGTACACGAACCGGCCGCCTGTAACCAGGCTCGTGTACACATTTACGAAAATACGATTCCGTGTACCAGTGTCAAGGACGATCGGTAAACGATTTCCTAAATTGTCCTTGGGCCGAGATTCGCGGCGAGTATATGCATCCGACAAGCACCGAATTATTTGAGACAATGTAGAGAAAGTGTTCCATCGCGTGCATGACAATTTAATTACCTCTCATCACGGCTGATGAGACGGAGCAACGAACAAGAAGATGAAAGGTTGTGGACGGCGGACGAGGTACAGAAAGTAATTGTTCGGAACGTCACTTTTGGCTGGGGTAATTAAGATGATTGATCATTTTTTTTCGAATGGAATCGCATACCAAGATGGTACCAAGGATTGCTGTAATAGTGCGTGTATATCTTGCACGTTGCCACTGACATATTAGTATTATTATAATATATCGTATATATTGTATATTTATATTGTTGTATATACTGTATTTTATATATTGTATATTTCAAA